ATTAAAACATGTTTAATGCGTTCGTATGGGGAAAAAACTCACCGCTATGCGGAAATGCTCCATCCGGCCCCCTTTTTGCCACCCGGTAAGCAAGGAAACCATGCAAAAACGCTGCGGGCAGCCATTTTGTTTACCCGGTGGCCATTTTGGAACCGCCGATCAGCTGTTTTAGAAACATCGCAATGCGAAGATCGGTAAGCAAAACACTTACCGATCATCGCAAAGCGATTTTTGGCCATTTAAAACATTGCAATGCGATCGCAAAATCCACATTGCTATGCGGACTCGTCGTTAAACAGGGCGCTCGTTAAGCGAGGCACCACTGTATTTGTTTGGTCCTTTTTAATGTTTGTATGCTTATTTGTTTCATTTTTAATACTGTAAGGAGGTAAGCCGCCTCTTTCTATTCATGGTTCTTAGCTTTAAATATGGTCTTTTAATCGTGTAAACAAACCACGGTTATAAATTCATTGTTTTCAGCTTTAAATTTTGCCTTTCAATGATGTAAGCAGTCTTGGGTCCTTTTTAAGGAGAATGGGTGGTGGGGGAAAATATTTTAAATAAATAAGATTAGCCATTAGAGGCATCAGTGATATGAACTCCACATAAGGCATGGTGACTGTCAGGCTATGGGATGCTGGGAACTATGTTCCCAAAATGCAACTTTCCGCATGCATTGCATTGCAGTGCTGTTGACTCCATTTTACGTTCCAGTAGACGTCTTATTTGATATCACATGGTTTGAATTTGCAAGTCAGCATCTCCTCATCAGGTTAATTTTACTCAATTAAATTAAATTAGATTCATTTAATTTAAATTAGAACTCAGATGATCACTTCAGACATGGAGGCCTATGAAACTTTAAGAAAATAGAGGACCTTTGAAAAAGCAGAGAGAGAGACTCACATAAACTGGACACTGTGCTATACAATCTGTTTGGAGTGATTTTTGATATCATTTCCGGTATATTTTTTTAAGGCGAAAAATGTTTTTTTGTGAACGAAGCTTTGATTCACAAATGGAAAAAAAAAGTGTTCTGTTTAGAAGGCGTTCCCTCCTCCCCCTCCCTCCTTTCCTGCCCTTTTTTTCCTAAGTTCATCTTAGGTCAAAAAAGAAAAAAGGAAAAAAATCCCCCCCCCCTTTAGTGGTAGAGTACGGATCAACCAACTTTGTATTAGTTCCTAGGGGAACTAATGCCTCTACTTGTGAATGGCGCCTCTAGATAAGAATGAAAAACAGCCCGAACGGATTAAATGGTTTTCAATGCATTCCTGTCGGGAATTTTGCTTCGACTTACGAATGTTTCAACGTACAAACAATACGAATTAAGTTCATAAGTCAAGGTTCCACTGTACTTGAAAGACTGTCATTCAGAGGAGGGGCAGGATCTCAATCATCCCAGAGTGCAGGATACGTAATAATGGACTCAGGTTACAGGAAGCCAGATTTAGGCTATCAGGGAAAACCTCCGAACAGAGCAGTATGACGGTGGTGTTGGAGTATGCAGATCAATTGTGTGTGAGTATACACTGTTCATTCTCGGAGACTTTAACGCTAGAGTTGGTGCTGATCACAATTCTTGGCCCACTTGTCTAGGCTGTTTTGGCATTGGAAAGATTAACAAAAATGTCCAACGCTTGCTGGAGTTTTGGTGTTATTATGGTCTTTGCGTCAGCAACACGTTCTTTAATATGAAGCTTCAAAACAGAGTTTCCTGGAGACATCCAAGATCCAAGCATTGGCATCAGCTCGATTTGATCCTCACTAGA